AGAGGTATTCGCTGAGGGATTTGCCCCTCCACCCCCTGCCCCCCCCATGCCAGACCCTTCATAGACACACGGTGGCGGCCCTGACTCCAGTGACCACTTGCTCCAAGGCAAGCAGGGAGCTGCCGGAGGCTCCAGACACAGCCGTGGGGAGGCTGAGGTGTCCACCTCTGAGTGTCAGGGAACGGGGTCTGACTCAGGAACCCCAAGGCTGATTCAGACCCCACGCCAGTTGCCCGGACTCCTGACTTTTACTGGAAGGTGAGAATTCCCAAAGACATTGGCATGAAGCTCTGGAAATCAGAACTGACAGAAAGGGGGAGGCGGCTGAGAAAACAACAACATCAAGAGTGTGGAGAGGGGAGACTGAGGCGTGAGGCAGCCCCTGAGCTGGGCGTGGGCAGGTGGGCAGACCAGTGGGAGTCAGCTCTCTAGGGCAAGAACAAGGGGACAGGAGAGTGCAAATCCTGATCGAAATTAAAAATGCCCAACAATGCCCCAAAGGCATCCAGAGGGGTAGCAGCAGAATCTCCAAGCGATGACCACTAGGTGTACAAGAAACCCCCTCCCCAATCCCCCAGGTGCCCTGTGCTCACCATCAGCTTGGCGTGTGTGGTGCGGACAGACATGGTTGTCATGGACACGCTGTCTCCATCTCTCAGCCTCAGGGAGAGGGTCTAGGACAGTGTCTGGCCAGGATAAACAATTAAGAGAGGAGATTAATGAATGAACGAATGTATTCTAGGCAGGGGGACTTAAATGAAACGACAGGAGAACAAATAAGATCAAGATGTGTTTGGGTACTGGGGAGAGACATTGCAGCTTTGTGGGGGAAATGAGACAGGGGGCAGGGGACTGGCCGATAAAAAGGTGAGTTTCACGCAAAGTTGCTGAAAGCTTTATATCCTAGGAAATGGAGAGAAACACGGAGATTGTCAAAGTAAATGCTCAACTCGATTTTCATTTCATCTGAGGCATTTGGGGTTTATGTGGTGGATGTGAAATCTGAAAGGTTTTAAGGCGAGAGGACCATAATTAAATGTGAATGCACATTCAGGGGTTGAGATTCTTTTCTGTTGTTAGTGATGCAAATCTGTTAAAAGATTTTAAGAAGGCATTTCAGGAACCAATTTGGATTTGAAGAGAAATCTGCACTTTATTTTGAGGGCAATAGGATCAAACTTTTCTATCATGCAAAGGAGTTTGAATATTCGCTAAAGTATTTTAAGAAAGGTGATGAGAATTTTTTTTTTTGGCCTGTGGAAGATAAGTAAAATAAGATGGCAATATGTATTCTAAAGCTAACAGTTTATAGAGTGCAGACACTGAAAAAATATTGAAAAATTATAAATACAAGAGAAATGGCTAAACAGAAAGTTGCACGTGAAAAATGTTCTATGTTGAGGGTTGTCAAAGGCTGATGTTCTCAGCACACCAACATGAGGTGACTAAAATCTAAGGAACCAAAGTGGAAGCATTTAATCAGAGGCAGTTCATGACTAACAATATACATACACACAAAAACATCTGGCTATATTTGTGGGTTCTGACATGATTAGTTTAGGTTTAAACTCTAGCACAGAAATTGTATTTTAGCCATAAGAAGCTTTCAGGAGTGACATGCTGGGGTGGTTTTTTGGTTGTTGTTGTTGTTATTTGTTTGGACAAGTGATTGCATTTGGGGGGGTGTGGGTAATGGAGGTGGAGGTTTTGGTGGGGTCTGCATGTGTTTTATATAAGAGAGATTACCAAAATACACACTTTATGCTAAAGAACTTGTACTTTTATCTCAGCTGTAATTAAGAAATACTGTAAGATTTTTAAGGTAGGGTAGACGAACACATTTTATAGATGGTGCTGGGAAGTGTGAATTTTATTTTAAAGGCTAACATGATCAAATTTTTATACCATGCTACCATGTTTGGATTTGAGTCAACGAAGGGAGGGCTGGGAAGGAAGGTGAGGTGAGGCATAGGGAGGTGTTTATATAGCTTAGTCTGAAGATAAATTACATGGTAAAACTTTGTTTTATGTTAAGCAGTTAGGACTTTATGTTACAAGCAATAAAGACACTTGGACAATTTCGATAGAATTTATGCATTTTTACATAGTCGAAAGAAAGAGGGGTTTTTTACACTGAAGATAATAAAATGCAATTTTCATAGCATGCCAAGGAGATGTGATATGAGAATTGACGCCCTGGATAATTTTCCTCACAAAGGGCCAGGTATCATATTTGAACTCTCCAGTAGAGAATGTATATGGACTGTTGCCAGTAAAGGGTGTTTAGGAGTTTTGTCTACAGAGGTAATAGATACCCAGAGGTCTAGATGTGAGGGAGGTGGTGGTGAAGAAATCTACGCACACTTTAGGCTGAAGAGGTAGATATTTTTTACTGCAGGCCCTATGGAGATGGGAAGGGGGCTTTCCACAGAATAAGCTCTAGGATGGAATTTATGTAACATGCGAAGCACTTTGGACATTATTCAGGGGAATGACAGGATGATATTTTTGTGTCATGCTAAGTAAGACATCTGGATTCTAGCCACTTAAAGGATCATAAGAGTGGCATGGTGAAACTTTGTAATAGTGCTGTCTGCAGGGAAATTACCTAGTAAGATACATATTTTACGCTAAGAAGTTTAGCTTTTCTCATAGGTCACTAAGAGATCGGAGAAGGCTATCAGCTATAACCTTTTATTTTAAGGAATAACATTTTTAAAAAATCATGTAAAGAAATCAGGAGTTAAATTAATAGAGTTTACAGATTGACTTAATGAGATTTTGGGTTTCATCCTGATTATTCTTCAAGAAAATTATTAAGTAAAAATGTTTCTTTTATGGTACATGCCTGGGACATCATATTCTAGACAATGAATTCAACTTTTAGTGACTTAAATAGAGACAGTATGGGAGGACCTGCATACACATTGTTGAACATTTGTCTTTCATGTTAAGTATCCAGACTAAGGCTTTTGCAAGTCAAAGATAAGAGATTTCAGGTAGAAGACAATAAAGTTGAAAGACTGAATCAGAGTTACACAACCAAATTTGTAACTATAGTAGGAAGGATACAATCTACTTTGACGAAAGGAATGACCTAATGTTTTAAATTATCACGCCAAGGAGTTCAAACTTTAGCCAACAAAGGATTTTTAAATGGGGGATGTTGTAAGATTGTTTACTAGCACTCAGTGTGTCTACAGGTAAGTTGCTAGCTAAATTTTGTCTTTTCTATCATGATATTCACTTACGATGACTTGGTGTTTTACAATGTAGCATTAATGTTACACAGATGACAGTCTTTGTGAAGGCAAAATGCATTCTGACATGCAATACGCTATCAGGAGGGTGATGCAGACGATGAGAATTTTACCTGATCTGTACACCATGCCATAAAAAAGGAAAATTATTACACTGAGGAATAGCCAAATCAGAATTCCGGGTTATGTTAAATAAAGCCTTTACATTTTCACCAGGGAGTGGTTTTCAGTCACTAGCTTGTGAAATTATTTCTAAGCTTCAACATTTGGATTCAACATTGTAGACATCAAATAAACAGAGTGAGGTTTTCATCATGATCACTTTTAGATGGAAGAAGAGTCTACTTAATTGGGAGAAACAGCAGATCAGAATGTCATTTCTGGCTGGAGAGTATGGATTCTAGCCAATGAAGAGTTTTGTTTTTAAAAAAGACATGCATTGTTATTTTTTCAAAAGCATCAGCCTGGTGATTAGGAAGAGGACAGAGAAGTAACAAAAGGTTTCAGGTTATAAAGAGCAATAACGACAGAGCAAGCTATGCTACTCAGTCCTGGGAGTCCAAATCCCTCTGTCCCAACAGAAAAGTAAAACCGTATTAAGAAATCCAACAGAGACCTCTCCTCCTAGGTCTCAACCCACTCTCAGCTCCACCACTCCAAATAACTACATTTCAAAGCATCAAAGGCCCACCTGTCTCCCCAACCCAGGATCCCAACGCTGTTCTGTTCAATGTGCTCTGATGGGGTCAGGAAATGAGGGAAACTAATCAGTGACAGAGAGAAAAGTGTATTCAGAGGATGACTAGAAGGTCACATAAGTACGGCTACAGGTGAGAGGTGCAGACCTCCTGTCTAAGGTTTTTGGATGCCAACAGACGCAGTGAGGTCAGTCCTGGAGAGTGGCAGGGAGGGGCTGGTGGATAGGAGAGACCTACACTGCACACAGAGCTGATGAGAACACAGCGTTAGGCAGAGATTCGAGAGGTAAAGAGAAATCTGCAGAGCTTCCTTCCAAGTGAGATTCAAGTAACAAAAAAGCAAATAACTGGTACATAGTAGGTGCTTAATTGGCACTACAGGGAAAAGAGGAAACTGCTGAAAAAGCTCACTGTTGGACCTCTGCCTGTCCCTTAAATGCCTACGTTGAGGTCCGAGAGGGAAAGAAGAGCTATTTTGGGCCTCTGACCCAACTGGCGGGAGCACAGCCAAATGGCATTCTCTGCTCTCCCATGAATGTGTTAAAGAGGCAGCATCTCTGGGGAGGTTCCACCTCCCCCAACCGAGCCTGGACGGGCTCTGGAGTGCCAGGCCTGCCAGGCGGCTTTGGACAGCACTCAGATATGACCTCTGTGGCTTTCGGGTGACCGAAGAGGAAAGGAGGGTTCACGAGGCTTGTGGGCCAGTGGGAAACAAAACCACTGGCACACATCCTGCCAGGCTGCCTGCCCGCCAGGGGCAGTCACACCACAGAATTTACAGGCTGTGAAGTTCTCATGTCCCCTGGGGAAGCAGGCAGCGAGCAGAGGGATCGGGTGCCAGCTCAGCAACTGGCAGATTTTTTTTTTCACGATCTCTGCAGTGTGATCAGCTGAGACTCTGACTCGATTTCTCTCTGTTCTGATCAGGTGGGCTTCTCTGATTTTTGGAGAACTTGACCTGGTTCAGATCCTAAACTATTGCCGCTTTTTCTCTCTCCTTCTCTCCACCCTCACCCCCAGGTTCTGATCTCTGTGGTCCCAGCTGCTAACGGGACTCACAACCACCTTACCAGTCTTCAGAGGCTACTCTTCCCAATCCGAAGAAATTATAGAACCCTCTGAAGACTCATTTGAGACGATGATGGAGCGTAAGAATCCATCATCAAAACAAATGGAGTCCTCCGAGGGCTCATCCAACACCACCGTGGAGATGTCCAGCAGCCAAGTGCAGGAAGCGATGGGGCCGGCCAGTGGAGCGGCCCAGGAAGTAAGGGAGCTAGCCAGCGGCCCCCTCCAGGAATCGGCAGCGTTGCCCACTGATCTCCTCCAAGCCATGGAGGAGCCATCCAGTGGCCCACGTCAGGAAATAGAGGATCCACCCAATGACCTACTCCAAGACATGGAGGAGTCACACAACGGTTCTCGCCAGGAAGAGGGGGGTCCAAGCAGCGAAGGCGCTGGTAAAATGGAGAAAAAGTCTGTCAACCCACGTGAAGTCCCCAAGAAGCAAGGAAGCGACACTGACCTGTCCGATTCGAGTGAAGACGAGGACAGCGGAGAGCGGATGAGGCGCAATGTCCTCCAGGAGCAGGAGCTGGTCACCGTGCGCTGCGTCACGTCTCTGTACTACCGGATCCAAGATCTGAGAGAAGAGCAGAGGCTGGAGGAGCAGCTCCTGCTGCAGGGCATCTGCACCGGCCGGCTGCCCGTGCCGGTGCCCTTCGGGGGCGACCGCAGGCAGTACCGCGAGTTCCTGGTGCTCTGTCAGCTCATCGTGGAGCACTACCCGCGCATTTTTGCCAACGACAGCCTGCGCGTCGGCTACATCATCACCCACCTATCCGGCATGGCCCTGGAGTGGGCCAAGACGCTCCTGCAGGCCAACAGTCCGCTGCTCCGCAACCTGTCAAGCTTCCTGGGGGCCATGTCCAAAATGTTCGAGTACCGCCAGGTGCTGCGAATGGCCGAAGAGGCCATGCTGACCATCAGGCAGAGGAACCGTCCGCTCTCGGTCTACATCACTGAGTTCCAGGGCCTGGTGTCCATCCTGCGCTGGCCAGATGAGGTTCTGCAGGCCCACCTGTGCCAAGGCCTCAACGAGGAGATCAGGCACTACCTGTTCCGCATCCCGCAGCCCGACTCTCTGGAGAGCCTCATCGTACTCGTCCTGCAGATAGAGGAGAAGCTGGCCGAGAGGAGGGCCGTGCTCAGGCTGCCGCCAGAGTCCCGTCCACGCAACCTGACCTGGATCGACTCACCTGCGCCGGAGAGGTGGATGGTGAGCAGCTGGCTGCCCCGCGAGGTGCACCCGGCCATCGAGCGGGCCCATCTCTTCCTGCTGCTCCTGGTGCGCGTGAGCCCCTACCACAGCGTAGCCGTCCGGGCCCTGCTTGACTCCGGCGCCAGCGCCAACTTCATGGATGAGAAGTTTGCCCAGGAGCACTACGTGGAGCTGCACGAGAAGCCGTACCCGCAGCACATCCGCAGCGCCGACGGCTCGCTGGTGGGCGGCGAGCCCGTGTGGCTCTACACCGAGCCCCTGCTGTGCATCCATCAGAACCACCACGAGTACCTGGAGTTCGACATCCTGCCCTCGCCCAGCTTCTCCGTGGTGCTGGGCATCACCTGGCTCCGGAAGCACGCCCCCGAGGTGGACTGGGCCCGCGGCCGCTGCTCCTTCCACTCGCCCTACTGTCTGCTCAACTGCTTCCGCCCGCCCCCGCCATGCATCGCACTCGACAGGCAGGGCCTCAGCCTGCTCCCTGGCCTGCCGCCCCCGTACTCCGACCTGGCCGACGTGTTTAACCCGAGAGAAGCAGATGATGAGACTTCCGACCAGCCAAGCTCAGACGGATCCGATGATCTTTCTGAATCAGAGCCCTCTGAGCTTCAGCAGGCTGGAGACAGTGACCACGATGAGATCGGTGACGAGCGTCCCTCCACCGCGCCGCCGTGGGAACCTATGTGGACTGGGGTGCAAGGCAGCGCCAGGCCGCACAGCGCACAGAGGGACGCGCGAGGCATGCGGAGCGACACACAAGACCACATACAGATGATTCCAGAACTCTTTGACCAGTTACACGGAGCGACATGGTTCACAAAGCTGGTGCTGCGTGGGACCATCGTGGAGAGGATGGAGGAACACCAGACAGAGGCGATGTGGAGGGTGGCATTCGGACTGGAGGGCCAGGAGAGGGCACGCTTCTGCCCTTTCCGGATCTCCGCTAACCCTGTCCTTCCCCAGAGCATGATCCAGTTTGTCCTCAAGGACATACTAGGCTACTTCGTGCTCTCCTACGGCAATGAGGTCGTGATCTATTCCATGAGCCGCCAGGAGCACCCTGAGCATGTCCGCCAAGTGCTTGTGCGCTTCCGGCGCTTCTGCATCTACTGCTCCCTGGACCAGAGTCAGTTCCACCGCAACACCGTGGAATTCCTAGGCTTCGTCATCAGCCCCAAAGGGGTGAAGCTCCACAAGAATGTGGTCGCCACTGTGGCCGGGTACCCCACCCCTCGCTCCCAGCGGTCCCTGGGACAGCTGATGGAGTTCATCTTCCCCTACCGCCACTTCGTGGAGCGCTTCACCGCCCTCACCGAGCCCCTCCAGCGGCTGCTGCGCCCCAGGCGCGCCTTCTCCTGGGCCGAGGAGCAGCAGGAGGCCTTCGAGCGCCTGAAGAGGGCCTTCCGGAAGGCGCCCCGGCTCCACCACCCAAAGCCCCAGAACCCCTTCTTCTTGGAGACGGGGATCACCGAGACATCCCTGCATGCCACCCTAATCCAAGTGGACGAGCAGACTGGCAAGAAGGTGTACTGTGCTTTCTACTCTCGGAACACCCAGACTGATGAAGACAACTACCCCCAACTGCAGAGGAGGATCCTTCCCATCCGGGCTTCCTTCATGGTGTGGCGCCGTTACCTGGAGAACACCGAGGAGCCCATCATGATCCTTCTCAACACAGAGGATCTAGCCTCTCTGAATAATGACAGGCTCGCCGTACTTCTCCCCGGCCAATGGGTCTTCTTCTTCTCTCACTTCAACTTCGACGTCATGGAGTGGCCACCCCGCGAGGGCCAAGAGTCTCGACTGCCTCTGAGGGGTCAGCGCGCGGACACGGTCGATCCCGAAATGACCACGCAGCCCCTGCTGCTCTTTCCCACCGACTCGTTCCCATTTGGCCCAACAACCACTCAAGAAGGGGAGAATACGGCCCAGCAGGAGCCGCCGAGTGCCGAGAACATACTGGCCCTGCTGCCCATCGACCAAATCATCAACATCTTCCTCGTCCACTTAGGTGCTGTCCAGATGAAGGCGGTGGTTCTGCACTTCCTCCGGAGCCTGATGCTCTGGAAGAACAACCTGGCGCTGGCTGCCACCCTCGTGCTCCTCCACCTCAGGCCACGGGCCCAGCGCCTGCTGACGCAGACCCCACTGGTGGCTCAACCCCGACTCAGGCACCCGCAGTGCCTCACTCTGGACTCGTCCATCATCACCCACTACAGTCTGGCCAACAGCATCGCTCAGCTCCTCATCCAGAGGCCGCCCCTCATGGGTGCCAACGCCATGCGCGGCCGAGAGCTGGCGCAGCTCTTCCTGAGCCCGGACAACTGGCAGGACTATGTCCCGATCCCCGAGTCCTACCGAGGGCTGCAGTGGAGCCCCAACTTCTGGCTGATGCTGTGTGAGTTCTTTGGTGTGAGAGTCACCCCCGGAGAGGACCGCCACCCACTGCCGCGCCACCACCGCTGCCTCGAAGTGCACGTCGTTAGCGATGACAATGTCGTCTTGCGAGACGCCCAGCAGGGCGACCTGCAACGTTACCGTCAAGGTGGCCTGCATGACGGCCTGCAAGACACCCCGCAGGACGATCAGGAGCACGCTGCACGAGAAGACCCCCAAAGGGCCGCTGCTGCCCTCGCCGTCCCGCTGCACAGCCAGGCCCACCCCGCTGTCCTCGCCTTCCTGCGCAACACCCGGACGGAGGGGCGCCCGGCCCTGCTCTCTGGGAGAATGGTGGCCAGACTTCTGGTCCGCTTCCTGAGCATGAGGAGAAGCCAGCCTACCCCCAGCGCAGTGCAGGAAAGCCCACCACGAGGGGCAGAGCCCAGCCTGGAAGAATCCAGTGACAGTGATGATGGCGCTAACAACTGAAAACACCTAGACTGCAACGCGGTGCCTCCTCCACCCCAACGTGCCCATGGCGTTTCCGCTAGCCTCCTCGTGCCTCTTGCCTGCTTCGCTCAGATTCAGTGTCCCTCCCTGATGCTTCTGGCTCCAGGGGACCCCACTTGTGAAGGGCAAATCATCATCCACCAGCAATACCATCAACACCTAAGGACCACAATCCATCTGAGACCCACTGCCAGTCTCAGGGCTACACAACAATCCCTCCGTCTTAATTCTCCAGGTCCCAGGCCTACAGCTGGGGGTGCGACCAATGTGAGGAGAAAGCGGTGATGAGCAGAGCAGAGGATGGACCCCATGACCCCAGGCCAGGTGGAGAAGCAGGCACAACAGAGATAGCCAAGCAAGCAGGGGCCAGCCATGCTGGCCCCCATGACAACCTGGGACACTGACCTCGGTGCTCCACTGACGTCTACCTCCATCACCGGTGCTTCTGGCCATGATGTAGCCACTGTTGCTGCTCCCGTGGGAGCTGTGCCCCCTCTTGCCCGCCACCCAGTCTCATGGTGCATCATCCTGTTGCCTCCCAACCCACCCTGCAAAAGCAAGCTGCCTCCCACTGCCTAGCTCAGCACAAGCTGCCACCCACTGCCTAGCTCAGCGCTGACCCTGCTCTTGACCGTGAGACTGAGAAAGTGAACTGGGCTCTCACCTGGGTGCTCCGGGGCCGTCCAATGGACCATGTGACTGCTACTTACCGGACTTCACACTTTATTGGTGGCCTGTCTCATAAGACATGGAAACTCAGGGGTTTACAGGACAGCAAAGGGGGTGACTACCCTCAGGGGGCTTGCTCTCTCCCCCTCAACACGGACAGTGCCAAGGCCCAGGCCCCAGCAGAAACAGGAGGGGGGCTGGGAGAGAGAACTGGTGCAGAGCCTGGACCCGACAGACTGTTTTGAACAGCTGAAAGTCCCTGAACAATGCAACCTGCCAGACAGGAGACCCCTCTCCTGCCCTCGCCCTCTTGCCTCTTTTTACTTCAATACCCCTCCTTCAATAAAACAAGATGAAAGAATAGCTGACTTTCTAGTTTGTTCTACAACGGTGGGGATGGGCAGGGGCTCTCAGAGCTACATGAGTGGAAAGCGGGTGAACGGGGTGGGGGGAATAACGTAAGGGGTGGGCAGGGGTTTTTCAAGCCTAGGTGGGTGGAAAGTAGGTGAGGAGGGTGGGCAGGCAAGGAAAGGACAAGTACAGCAAGGGGCAGGTGGAGGCAGCTGGCAAGGGCATTCATCTTATGGGGAAAAGATGGGGAAGGAGAGACGGTCTATACCCCGTCTCACAGAGCATGGATGGCAAGGGGCTCTGACTTCAAGGAAACCATCCCCTGCACTCCATGGAGAAGTCCTAGTCCCCACTTTAGAGGGTTTCACTGCTCTCCATGTGGCCCATAATCATCGAGAAATCTCGATCCTGTGTTGGGGGCTGAAGGAGTATAAAGGGGGGGGGGCTGACTTGATTGGCTCACGGAGCTCACCATGCTGCCACTGAGGCACACACACACGTGTATCCATGCTTAGATACTCACTCCACAGGCACTTGCACCCACACACAAGCATGCACAGAAACACACTCATTCCACAGGCACATGCATCCACACATACACACACATGCACGCAAACATACTCCATACACACACCCCCATACACAAGCATGCACACAAACACACTCGCTCCATGAGCACATGCGTCCACACATACACACACATGCCAACATCCTGCATATGCACATGCACCCACACACATGCACACACATCCATGCACGCAAACACCCTCATTCCATATGCACATGCACCCACACACGTACACACACATCCATGCACGCAAACATCCTCACTCCATATGCACATGCACCCACACACATGCTCGCAGACTTTCATACACACACATGAAGGAGAGCAAGGGACCAGCCCACTCTAAGACTTGGCTTTCATCTACACTAGAGTTGGGTTTCTACATTGGTGGGCAGGGGTCCTCTGCGATGGAGCAGAGGGGAAGGAATGAAGACTTCTCCTCTCAGGGTGACCATGGGCCTCAGCTGGAGAGGTGAACCCCTAGAGGTCGTGAATCCAAACAGCATGTCTCCCACTTGGCAGCAATCTGCCCCCAACCGGGTACCCTGAGATCACAACACATGTCCAGGTTCAAAGGGGAGGTGTTATGAGGGCAGTCCCCGCTCCGCACAGCCCACCCTCCCTTGCTGGCCTTGGACCAGCCATTTCCCTCCATGATCCTATATTCTCCTATCCACAGACCCAGAAAGTTTGAAACTCCCAGACCCAGACTTCCACATGCACCTGCCCAGGCATATCCCCCATTACCCTGTCTTCATGCCTCTGCCTTCCAGACTCCCAACAGGGTGAGGGATCAAAGCCCATCAACCCACCTGAACAATCTCCCCCTGACATCAGCACTCAGAGACCATGGTCAGGATCCTGAGGTTCAAAGTCAGGGGCTCAGCAACCTTCTCCCACTCCTCTACCCAGCAATGCCTTTCCTGATTGGCCACAGTCCCTCTTGGCTTCCTCCCATTCCCCATTAGTCAACCAATCCCAGCAAGACCACTTGGAGGATTGCAAGGGTCACAAATAAAGTGCATCCTCCCCTCGCAGTTCTCAAGACCCTGAAGTGGCAAGCAAAGGGTCACTGAGCAAACTGGGGACAGCGGCTGGACTGGTGACTCCACAGTTCACCATGGGCCTCTTCTTGTATGTCCAGACACAGTGACAATAAGGGGACCTGGTGAAGGCCCCACACTGAGCCAACCCCACACTGACCCAGAAGGCCAAAGGTCTTTCTGTCAAACCCGGAACCCCAACCTAAGTTCTGCCCTACAGGATTATCAGCTGACTTTTGAGGTTCACGGTCCAGGATTCAATGTCAAGACTTCCAGTTTCCTCCCTAAATACACAGATGTGGCAAGTCCCACCCCACCGCCCCTGAGGTATACTGAAATGGGGTCCCAAGCCTCAACCCATGAGGTGACCTTGGAGGATAGCTTTTCACCTTGAGCCTCTTTTCACATCTACTCAGTGGGTTTTCAGCAAGACATGGAGAGCATCAGGGGCTCTTGGATTCCAAAACTCTGTTCTGATGCCAGATAACACTATTCCTAGAGTCTTTGAATCCCTTCTGGTGAACTCAGAAGTGGGTGTCTTTCTCTGAGGGAGGAACTCACATCCACCACAGCAGGGGCTGGGAGTCCCAGGACTGGGCTCCTCCTCAGCTTGGCTTAGAGGGATCGTCTGTGTAAATTATGGTGGACGGGCAGCGTGGCAGACAGGTCAGCCCTGCTGCAGTCCACAACCGCGCCTTAGGGGGAGGAGCAAGCAGGAAGGCCTTGAAAGAAGGCTCATGGCAAACTGCGCCAGCTTCACTCACCCCTCACCGGTCTAACGCAAGTCAGGGTCAGCTCTACCCACCCATCCACACACCTGCCTGCTGCGGGGTCAGGATGTTCCCTAAGGTGTTTACATGTATCCACAGTGTATACACACTTATGTCTACACTCCACATATCCCAGAGTCACGCAAAAGCAGCCCATCATCACACTTCTACCATCCTAGAGAATAGTTAAAATGCAAAAAACAAACAAGTAGCACACGCACTCACACACGTGTATGCACACAAATACACAAATACTCCACACATACATATACACATGCATGCATCCACGCACGCCACAGTCCTTCACATGCACTCACACACTCGTATGAAAAGACATGTTTACACCACATCGATAAACACACTCACATCCATGTCCAATGGCAGGCATACACACCAGTGGGACTAACAGTACGTGGTCAATGTGTCCCACGTGAGCGGAGAGCAGCGTCCTTCCATGCTGACGTACCCTCATCACCGTCTCAGACAGAGGAGCCTTTATCTCCATCTGACAAATGAAAGGGAGTCTCTAAACCCAGTGCCACTGACAAGACACAACCAGCCCGTTAGCCCAGAAAACAGTTAAAATGCATAAAACAAACCTTAGAGTCTCCTGAGGAGGGAAAGAAGCATGTTAAAAGAGTAATTATACCCTCAGTTATGACATTATGGCCAACACAAAATAAGCGAGAACCCAAGACAGTTATCCCATTGATCAATTCCAGGTCAAAACCAACTTGCTGCCCTTGCAGTTCTAGGCCGAGGGCAGCAGCCAGCCCTAACCCACCCCTAGCCCTTGGGCCAGGTCATCAGGCTTCAAATGAATCTAGATCATGCTACATAACCTCCCAGCCTGTCACACAAATTGTATCACATCTACTTACCACTCTGGTCCAGACCTAGTCTTCCCTTCTCCATGATCAGGCAATCATCCTTGTGTTAGTTCCTATCAGAGTCTGAAGTTCCTTCCTCATCCATCAGGCAGATCTCAGCCTTATCTCAAAGGAGAGAAAAGAAAATCAGGTAGAGTCCATGCCCACACCTGACTCCCACCAGCCCCAGACCCCTGCTGCAGGACCAGGGAACTCTGACTGCAACCAAGCCCAACAGAGAAGATCCCCTTCCTGACCTTCTTGAGGGTCTATGAGAACAGAGGATGGAGTTGTGACACCTCCAGTTCAAGTTCACACAGTACTCCACGGTAGTGGCCAAAACAGGCCCTTTAGAAGGTCACCTGATACAGGCCAAGGCAAAGAGAAGCTGCCCTAGAAGAGAGAGAGGACTGAACAAGTTTGGGGCCTAGGCAACTTTCTCAGGGGCAGGGGATCCAGGGTGGAAGGGTGGTATCAAATACTGACCACTTTGTGTAATACATTCCTCCAATGAGGCCTAGGGCCACACGCATCAGACTCATGGAGGTCAGCTACTTAACACACAGGTGGCCACTCGGACACCAGGATATCCTATCCAGGGAAGCAGAGAGTGGAAAAGAACCAGTCTTTTGTGTTCCCAGTACTGTTCACCCTTAAGTCTTTGTCTTCCTTGGTGATCAGATGAAGTTGAAAATACCAAGGGAGAGGA